CTTCAGACATGCCAGCAGCGGTGCTCCGGTGACTCGGGAAGAACTGATGACGGTGCTGTCTAGACTGGAAGATGTTCGCCTCCGAGGCCTCTACTTCACCGAGACACAGCGGCTCACCCTGAGTGGGGTGGGGCTAGAAGAAGCCACTGACACAGGAAGTGGACGTAGAGCACATAATGTAGAGATGTGTGCCTGCCCCCCTGAGTATACTGGTGACTCATGTCAGGTAGGAAATTCTCTTATTCCATTAAATTCCCACAGGGGACTCCTGGGGCTGACTCTCCTGGCTGCTGTCCAGCACTGCTAGATGGTCTGGGGCACTCTGTCAGGGTCTGTTGGGCTATAGCTTCTATCTCACCTGGACCACCTTTGGGTATTAAATATGAAAAGGCAATCACAAATGTCTCAAAGTCCATAGGAAAGCCCCAGTAGCCCAGTAGGTCCTGGGGGTTGTAAAAATAAGGATTTTCCCATAAGTAGGAAGAAGGCTGCCAGTTGGCACCCCAGTATTTGAGCTACTGCTTTCCCAGTTGCTGACCAGGGGTTTTCATGCCTTTCTCTAATCCAGGGCCTCTCCCCAACCATCACCCCCAGAAGAGTTATAGTTCAAAGTATATCTTAATTCTTTGAGGGGAAATCAAAGTCCAATTTTCTAGCTCACAGCAGCTCCTTATTTGAGGTCCAGTCAACCAGACTTGTCCTCGGGTGATTAAAATGTGCCATAAAATGAAACCATTTTATATCTCAGGCCGTAAGTGTGTTCTCTTCCTAAAGAGAGAGCAAGAAAGCACGACTGTGATTACAATTATCAGAAAATAGCAAATTGTCCTTCTGTGTGTTCCATAGATATCCTTTATGTTCTCTTCTGACCTCTTCGTAGCAGAACACCTCAGGTGATCTGCACATAAGAGTTTCTTTTTTAATCTGCAAATATATTACCTGCAGTGGTTTTCTGGGGACTCTTGTCTTGTAACGTTTAGTCCACAGGTGCCTACATTCTTCTCCCTTCTTTCT